CTTGTACATGTATGTGTAGTGTGACCCAAGTGTAAGTAGAAGTAGCAAGACGTACCTAAAATTTTGAAGAATTGAGACACTTATGCAACACATGGGAATCTTTATTGAAGAAACGTTTCGACACACAGTGGCTTCATCAGTCCAATACAAAGTAGAAATGGGTAAGGATAAAACAATTACAGGCTTTGGTTTTACACTCACTTGGCAGGACGGTAGTACCTCCCTGGGCGGTTGCTGTCTACCAACCTGCTACTATATATATATATATATATATATATATATATATATATATATATATATATATATATATATATATATATATATATATATATATATATAAGTGTGTGTGTGTGTGTGTGTGTGTGTGTGTGTGTGTGTTGTGTGTGTGTACTCGCCTAGTTGAGGTTGCAGGTGTCGAGTCCAAGCTCCTGGCCCCGCCTCTTCACTGGTGTGTCTGTGTACTCACCTAGTTGTACTCACCTAGTTGAGGTTGCAGGGGTCCAGTCCAAGTTCCTGGCCCCGCCTCTTCACTGGTCGCTACTAGGTCACTCTCCCTGAACCGTGAGCTTTATCATACCTCTGCTTAAAGCTATGTATGGATCCTGCCTCCACTACATCGCTTCCCAAACTATTCCACTTCCTGACTACTCTGTGGCTGAAGAAATACTTCCTAACATCCCTGTGATTCATCTGTGTCTTCAACTTCCAACTGTGTCCCCTTGTTACTGTGTCCCATCTCTGGAACATCCTGTCTTTGTCCACCTTGTCAATTCCTTTCTGTATTTTGTATGTCGTTATCATGTCCCCCTTATCTCTCCTGTCCTCCAGTGTCGTCAGGTTGATTTCCCTTAACCTCTCCTCGTAGGACATACCTCTTAGCTCCGGGACTAGTCTTGTTGCAAACGACAGAAACCTTAAGGGTTTAGCGATTTCTCGTAAAAAAAAAGAAAAGGGGAATCAAAATCATATTTGAGTCGCAGTTGATAATGAAGGTCTTCCTCGGTCTTTAGAATGGCAAACAAGTGAAATTAGCTAGATGAGTTCTATGCTCAGTTTTAGAATAAGGTACGATGCTGACCAAGAAGATAAACGCTTGCAAATACTGGACCATTTTGGAAATTAAAAAGTGAAGCCAGGAGCCGAATTTCGACCCTTGGAAACAGCAGTAGGAGAGTGCACAAACACCAGTGGGAGAGTGCACAAACACCAGTGGGAGAGTGCACAAACACCAGTGGGAGAGTGCACAAACACCAGTGGGAGAGTGAACAAACACCAGTGGGAGAGTGAACAAAAAACCAGTGGGAGAGTGAACAAAAAACCAGTGGGAGAGTGAACAAAAAACCAGTGGGAGAGTGCACAAACACCAGTGGGAGAGTGCACAAACACCAGTGGGAGAGTGCACAAACACCAGTGGGAGAGTGCACAAACACCAGTGGGAGAGTGCACAAACACCAGTGGGAGAGTGAGCAAACACCAGTGGGAGAGTGCACAAACACCAGTGGGAGAGTGAAAAAACACCAGTGGGAGAGTGAATACCAGTGGGAGAGTGTACAAACACCAGTGGGAGAGTGTACAAACACCAGTGGGAGGGTGCACAAACACCAGTGGGAGAGTGCACAAACACCAGTGGGAGAGTGCACAAACACCAGTGGGAGAGTGTACAAACACCAGTGGGAGAGTACACAAACACCAGTAGATGAGTGCAAAAACACTAGTGGAAGAGTGCACAAACACCAGTGGGAGAGTACACAAACACCAGTACATGAGTGCACAAACAAGAGTGGGAGAGTACACAAACACTAGTGTGAGAGTGCACAAATAGCAGTGGGAGAGTACACAAACACCAGTAGATGAGTGCACAAACACAAGTGGGAGAGTGCACATACACCAGTGGGAGAGTGCACAAACACCAGTGTGAGAGTGCACAAGCGCCAGTGGGAGGGTGCACAAACACCAGTGTGATCGTGCACAAACACCAGTAGGAGAGTGCACAAACACCAGTGGGAGAGTACACAAACACCAGTGTGAGAGTACACAAACACCAGTGTGGGAGTGCACAAACACCTGTGGGAGAGTGCACAAACACCAGTGTGAGAGTGCACAAACACCAGTGGGAGAGGACGCAAATACCAGTGGGAGAGTACACAAACACCAGTGAGAGAGTACACAAACATCTGTGGGACAGTACAAAAACACCAGTGTGAGAGTGCACAAACACCAGTGGGAGAGTTCACAAACACCAGTGTGAGAGTACACAAACACCAGTGTGAGAGTGCACCAAACATCTGTGGGAGAGTACTCAAACATCAGTGTGAGATTGCACAAACACTAGTGGGAGAGTACACAAACACAAGTGGGAGAGTACACACATACCAGTGGGAGAACGCACAAACACCAGTGGGAGAGTGCACAAACACCAGTAGGAGAGTACACAAACACCAGTGGGAGAGTACATAAACCACAGTGCGAGAGCGCACAAACACCAGTGGCAGAGTGCACAAACACCAGTGGGAGAGTGCACAAACACCAGTGGGAGAGTACACAGACACCAGTTGTAGAGTGCACAAACACCAGTGGGAGGGTGCACAAACACCAGTGGGAGAGTACACAAACACCATTGGAAGAGTACACAAACACCAGTGGAAGAGTACACAAACACCAGTGGGAGAGTGCACAAACACCACTGGGAGAGTGCACAAACACCAGTGGGAGAGTACACAAACACTAAAGTGAGAGTGCACAAACACCATTGGGAGAGTACACAAACACCATTGGGAGTGCACAAACACCAATGGGAGAGTGCACAAACACTAGTGGGAGAGCGCACAAACACCAGTGGGAGAGTACACAAAAACCAGTGGTAGAGTGCACAAACACCAGTGGAACAGTGCAAAAACACCAGTGGAACAGTGCACAAACACCAGTGGGAGAGTGCACAAGGACCAGTGGGAGAGTGCACAAACACGAGTGGGAGAGTACACAAACACCAGTGGGAGAGTGCACAAACACCAGTGGGAGAGTGCACAAACACCAGTGGGAGAGTACACGAACACCAGTGGGAGAGTGCACAAACACCAATGGGAGAGAGCACAAACACCAGTTGGAGAGTACGAAAACACCAGTGGGAGAGTGCACAAACACTAGTGGGAGAGTACACAAACACCAATGAGAGAGTGCACAAACATCTGTGGGACAGTACAAAAACACCAGTGTGAGAGGGCACAAACACCAGTGTGAGAGTACACAAACACCAGTGTGAGAGCGCACAAGCACCTGTGTGAGAGTGCACAAACACCAGTGGGAGAGTGCACAAATACCAGTGGGAGAGTACACAAACACCAGTGGGAGAGTGCACAAACACCAGTGGGAGAGTGCACAAATACCAGTGGGAGAGTACACAAACTCCAGTGCGAGAGTGCACAAGCACCAGTGGGAGAGTGCACAGACACCAGTGGGAGAGTGCACAAACACCAGTGGGAGAGTGCACAAATACCAGTGGGGGAGTACACAAACACCAGTGGGAGAGTGCACAAACACCAGTGGGAGAGTGTACAAACACCAGTAGGAGAGTACACAAACACTAGTGTGAGAGTGCACAAACACCAGTGGGAGAGTGCACAAACACCAGTGGGAGAGTGCACAGACACCAGTGGGAGAGTACACAAGCACCAGTGTGAGAGTGCACAAACACTAGTGGGAGAGTACACAAACACCAGTGTGAGAGTACACAAACACCAGTGGAAGAGTGCGCAAACACCAGTGGGAGAGTACACAAACACCAGTGGGAGAGTACACAAGCACCAGTGTAGAGTGACAAACACCAGTGGGAGGGTGCACAAACACCAGAGGGAGAGTACACAAAAACCAGTGGGAGAGTACACAAACACCAGTGGAGAGTACACAAACACCAGTGGGAGAGTGCACAAACACCAGAGGGAGAGTACACAAAAACCAGTGGGAGAGTACACAAACACCAGTGTGAGAGTACACAAACACCAGTGTGAGAGTACACAAACACCAGTGTGAGAGTGCACAAACACCAGTGTGAGAGTGCCCAAAAACTAGTAAGAGAGCGCACAAACACCAGTGGGAGAGTGCACAAACACCAGTGAGTACACAAAAACCAGTGAGAGAGTGCACAAACACCAGTGTGAGAGTGCACAAAAACCAGTAGGAGAGTGCACAAAGAACCAGGTGTGAGAGTGCACAAAACAGTGGGAGAGTACAAACCATACACTCAGTGGAGTGAGGGAGTGAAGGAGAAAAGTAGTGTGGGAGAGTACAAACACTCAGTGGGTGAGGGAGTAGGTGGGTGAGGAGTAGTGGGTGAGGAAGTAGGTGGGAGGAGTAGGGGAGGAGTAGTGGTGTGAGGAAATAGAAAGTGGGGAGAGTGGGTGAGGAGAGTGGTGAGGAAGTAGGTTGGGAGAGTGGAGTGAAGAGTGGGAGGAGTGGGGTAGAAGTGAATATGTGAGGAGTAGTGGTGAGAATAGGTGGGTGGGAGATGGTGGGGAAATAGGTGGTGAGGAGAGTAGGTGGGAGGGAAGTAGGTGGGTGAGGAGTACGAGTGGGTGAGGGAGTAGGTGGGTGAGGAAGTAGGTGGTGAGGAGTAGGTGGGTGAGGAAGTAGGTGTGGGAGTTAGGAAAATAGGTGGGTGAGGAGTAGTGGTGAGAGTAGGGAGAGTAGGTGGGTGAGGAAGTAGGTGGGTGAGGAAGTAGGTGGGTGAGGAAGTAGGTGGGTGAGGGAGTAGGTGGGTGAGGGAGTAGGTGGGTGAGGGAGTAGGTGGGTGAGGAAGTAGGTGGGTGAGGAAGTAGGTGGGTGAGGAAGTAGGTGGGTGAGGAGTAGGTGGGTGAGGGATAGGTGGGTGAGGGAGTGAAAGTAGGTGGGTGAGGAGTAGGTGAGGAGGAAGCAGGTGGGCGATGGAGAAAGTGAGTGAGGGAGAAGGTGGATGAGGGAGGTGAGGGAGAAGGTGCTACTGGTGTTACCAGTGTTAGTGGTTCTACCTGTACAACTGGTGTTACTAGTGATAATGGCGCTACCGTTGCTAGTGGTGTTAATGGTGCTACCAGTGCTACTTGGGCTATAGGTGTTACTAGTGCTACTGGTGCTACTAGTGTTAATGGTGCTACTAGTGCTATCAGAGGTTCTGGTCATGCCATTGATGCTGGTGCTACCATTGCTACTGGGGCTACCTGTGGTACCAGTGCTACTGGTGGTACCGTTGCTACTGGTGCTACCATTGTTACTAGTCACACTACTAACGAGGACACATTAACAAGGTGACACCAAAGTCACACAAAGGTGACACCAAAGTCACACAAAGGTGACACCTAAGTCACACAAAGGTGACACCAAAGTCACACAAAGGTGACACCAAAGTCACACAAAGGTGACACCAAAGTCACACAAAGGTGACGCCAATAACAAGGTCACACCACCACCAAGGTCACACCACCAAGGTCACACCAATAACAAGGTCACGAAACCAAGGCTATAGCAATAAGGTGACACAAAGAAGGTCATCGTAATAACAAGGTCACATCACCAAGATTATAATAACAAGGTAACACCCCCATGGTCACACCAACGCCACAGCACCAAGGCCACACCAATAACAAGGTCACACTACGAAGATTAAAATAACAAGGTGACACAGATAAGATCACTCAAATAACAAGGTCACATCACCAAGGTCACATAACCAACGCCACACCACAAAGGTCGCACCAGACCTCTGGTAATGAGCTGGTGAGTAAGCACTGACCTACTGCCAGAGTTAAGGTCATCAGACTGGACCGTCAACTAACCGAGACATGATTAAACTCTCTAGAGGAAGCAAGTTAGAGCAAGTTGGAACAAGTTTATGCTGGGAAGGAAAGGGGGGCGTGAAGAGGAAGGGAGGGGGTCAGGGAGGGAGTGGCAGGGAGGGAGTGGGAGAGAGGGGTCAGGGAGGGAGTTGTCAGGGACAGAGTGGCAGGGAGGGAGGGGTCAGGGAGGTTGTGGCAGGGAGGGAGGGGTCAGGGAGGTTGTGGCAGGGAGGGAGGGGTCAGGGAAGTGTGTAGGAGGGAGAGGACAGGGAGGTAGTAGCAGGGAGGGGCAGGGAGGGAGCGGTAGGGAGGGAGTGGCAGAAAGGAAGGGGTCAGGGAGGGAGTGGAAGGGAGTGGCAGGGAGGAGTGGCAGGGAGAGAGGGGTCAGGGAGAGAGTGGCAGGGAGAGAGGGGTCAGGAAAGGAGTGGCCAGGGACGAGTGGCAGGGAGGGAGTAGCAGGGAGGGAGTGGCAGGGAGGGAGTGGGACGGAGAGAGGGGTCAGGGAGGAAGTGGCAGGGAGGGGTCAGGGAGGGAGTGGTCAGGGGAGAGGGTTCAGGGAGGGATAGAAGGGAGGAGTGGCAGGGAGAGAGTGGCAGGGAATGGGTCGGGAAAGGTAGGGAGGTGGGAGGGTAGAGGGGTCAGGGAGGGATGGGTAAGGGGGGAGTAGCAGGGAGGGAGTGGCAGGGGAGGGTGTGGGAGGGTGGGAGGAGGGGGAGGGAGGGATCAGGAAGGGCTCGAGGAAGGGAAGGTCAGGAGGGAGGGGTGTCAGGGAGGGAGGGGACAGGGAGGGAGGGTCAGGGAGGAGTTGTCAGGGACAGAGTGGGGAGTCGGAGGGAGTGGCAGGGAGGGGTGGAGGGATCTAGAGAGGGGTCAGGGAGGAGTGGAAGTGGAGAGAGGGGTCAGGAAGGGAGTGTCAGGGACCGATGGGAGGGAGGGAGTGGCAGGGAGGGAGTGGCAGGGAGGGAGTAGTAGGGAGGGCAGTGACAGGGAGGGACATGGCAGGAAGGGAAGGGCCATGGAGGGAGTGGCAGGGAGGGAGGGGCAGGGAGGGAGTAGCGGTAGGAGTGGGGTTGGGGAGAGAGTGGAGGGATGGCAGGGAGGGTGGCAGGGAGTGATGGGGTAGGGAGGTAGTGGAGTGGAGGGAGTGGGAACTGAGAGGGGTCAGGGAGAGGGAGTGGAGGAGAGAGGGGTCAGAGAAGGAGGTCAGGGAATGGGGAGAGGTAGGGAGGGAGGGGCAGGGAGGGGAGAGGGAGTGCATGAGGGAGGGATGGCAGGGAAGGAGGGGGCAGGGGGAGTGGCAGGGAGGGAGGTGGCAGGGAGGGGTAAAGAGAGGAGTGGCAGGGAGGGGTCAGGAAAGGGATGGGTAGGGAGGGAGTGGATGGAGGGGTTCAGGGAGTGGCAGAGAGGGGTCAGGGAGAGTAGGGAAGGGAGTGGCAGGGGGTAGTGGGAGGGAGGGAGTGGGAGAGAGGGGTCAGGGAAAGTCAGGAGGAGGTAGGGAGGGAGGGGTCAGGGAGGGGGGTCAGGAGGGATTAGCAGGAGGAGGCAGTGAGGGAGTGGCAGAGAGGGAGGGGTTGGGAGAGGGGTCAGAAGGGATGAGGTAAGAGCAGGGAGGGATGAGGATGTCAGGGAGTGGCAAGAGGGAGGGGTCAGGGAGGGAGTGGTAGGGAGTGGCAGGGAGTGGGAGGGAGGGAGGAGTCAGGGAGGGAGAGAGTGCAGGGAGGGAGGGTTCAGAGAGGGAGGGGTAGGGAGTGGAGGAGTGGCAGGGAGGAAGTAGGATGGAAGAGGGGGTCGGAGGGAAAGGGGAGTGGTAGGGCAGGGAGGGAGTGGGAGGAGGGGAGAGTGGGAGGGAAGGAGTCAGGGAGGGAGGGCAGGGAAGGGGGGAGTGAGAAGTAGGGAGGGAGTGGAAGGGAGGGGTCAGGGAGGAGTGTGGCAGGGGGAGGGGAGGGGGAAGGGAGAGTAGGAGTGGGAGGGAGGGTTCAGGGGAGGGTCAGGGAGGGAGTGGCAAGAGGGAGTGGTCAGGGAGTGGCAGGGAGGGGTCAGTGGAGTATGGTAGGAGGGAGGGGTCAGGGAGGGAGAGCAGGGGAGGGCAGGGAGTGGGAGGCAGGGAGTGGGAGAGAGGGGTGGATGGGGGAGGGGAGGGAGGGTCAGGGAGGAGTGGCAGGGAGGAGGGTCAGGGAGGGTGTCAGGGACAGAGTGGAGGGAGGGAGGGGTCAGGGAGAGTGGCAGGGTAGGGATAGTGGAAGGGAGGGAGGGGTCAGGGAGGTTGTGGCAGGGAGGGAGGGGTCAGGGAGGTAGTGGCAGGAAGGAGGGGTCTAGGAGGGAGTAGCAGGGAGGGAGGGGTCAAAGAGGGAGTGGCAGAGAGGGAGTGGGAGGAGAGAGGGGTGAGGGAGGGAGTGGCAGGGGGGGTGTGGGACGGAGAGAGGGGACAGGGGTGGAGTGGCAGGGAGAGAGGGGTCAGGAATGAGTGGTCAGGGACCGAGTGGCAGGGAAGGGAGTAGCAGGGAGGAAGTGGCAGGGAGGGAATGGCAAAGAGGCAGGGGTCAGGGAGGTAGAGGCAGGGAAGGAAGGGTCATGGTGGGAGTGGCAGGGAAGAAGGGGCCAGGGAAGGAGTAGCAGGGAGGGACTGACAGGGATGGAGAGCCGGGAACGAGTGGGAGGGAGGGAGTGAGAAGCAGGGGGCAGGGAGTGGCAGGGAGGGAGGGGTCAGAGAAGTAGTGGCAGGTAGGGAGGGGTCAGGTAGGGAGGGGTCAGGGAGGGAAGTGGCAGGGACCGAGTGGCAGGGAGGGAGTAACAGGGAGTGGCAAAGAGGGAGTGGCAGGGAGCGAGGGGTCAGGAGGTAGTAGCAGAGAGTAGCAGGGAGGGAGGGTTCAGGGAGGGAGTAGTAGGGAGTGGCAGGGAGTGGGATGGAAGGAGGAGTCAGGGAGGGAGTGGCAGGGAGGGAGGGGTCAGTGAGGAAGTAGCAGGGAGGAAGTGGGAGGGAGGGAGTGGGAGGGAGGGGTCAAGGATGGAGGGGTCAGGGAGGGAGTAGCATGGAGGGAGGAAGTGGGAGGGTGGAAGTGGGAGGTGGGGTCAGGGAGGAAGGGGTCAGGGAGAGAGTGTCGGGAGGAGTGGCAGGGAGGGAGTGGCAGGGAGGGAGTGGCAGGGAGAGAGTGGCAGAGAGGGAGGGGTCAAGAAGAGAGTGGTAGGGAGGGAGGGGTCAGAGAGGGAGTAGCAAAGAGGGAGTGGCAGGGAGGGAGTGGCAGGGAGGGTGTAGGAGAGAGGAAGTGGCAGGGAGGGGACAGGGAGGGCTCAGGAAGAAAGAGGTCAAGGAGGGAGGTGTCAGGGAAGGAGGGGTGATGGAGGGAGTTGATAAATTAGACACATGTGCAACTCTTGGGTATCTTTATTGAGGAAACGTTTCGCCACACAGTGGCTTCATCAGTCTGATGAAGCCACTGTGTGGCGAAACGTTTCCTCAATAAAGATACCCAAGAGTTGCACATGTGTCTAATTTATCAACATGTCGGTTCTCTGAACCATTCATCTACAAACCTGTCATACACTGCAACTTCTTGGGATCTTAATACTTAGGAATTCTTCGCTTGCCTAATTCTTGGGCACAACCTACTTCCACATTGAACAAATGTGACACGACCTATGACTGCTGCACCTCTCCTGCCATACGCTTTATAAGCTGCTTCTCCGCTCATCTGCCGTATTCTACTCAAGATTGATGGACTGAACACATCGACTCAAGGTTGAGGGACTGATTACCTCATTCTCCTCCTGTTCTTCAAGTTTCTCCTATGTATGGACTGATGAAGCCACTGTGTGGCGAAACGTTTCCTCAATAGAAATACCCAAGAGTTGCACATGTGTCTAATTTATCAACATGTCGGTTCTCTGAACCATTCATCTACAATGGAGGGAGTTGTCAGGGACAGAGTGGCAGGGAGGGAGGGGTCAGGGAGGTAGTGGCAGGGAGGGAGGGGTCAGGGACGTAGTGGGAGGGAGGGATCAGGGAGGTAGTGACAGGGAGGGAGGGGTAAGGGAGGTAGTTGCAGGAAGGGAGGGGTCTAGGAGGGAGTGGCAGGGATTGAAGGGTCAGAGAGGGAGTGGCAGGGAGGAAGTAGCAGGGAGGGAGTGGGACAGAGAGAGGGGTCAGGGAGGGAGTGGGGGGGGGGGGGGGGTGCGGGGAGGGGTGGCAGGGAGGAGTGGCGGAAGGGAGAGGGGGAGGAGGGTGGGGGAGGGGAGGGAGAGAGGGGTCGGGAAAGGGGTGGCGGGGGAGAGGGGCAGGGAGGGGTACGGGGGGGGAGTGGCGGGGGGGTGGGCAGGAGGGAGTGGAGGAAGAGGGGCAGGGAGGAGTGGCAGGGGAGGGGGCAAAAAGGGGAGTTTTTGGGGGCGGGGGCAGTTCAAATGGGGGAAAAAGGGTGCGGGGGATTGGGCCCTTTACTTTGGGAAAAAGCCATGT